GTATTTGACAGCGAACAAATTGACAGTTTGTTGTACCATAATAATATAAGTGACGTATCGATGTCAGGTGGTACCCTATGCGAGAAATTTCCTGACATATCCCTCCCTGACCTCCAAATTGAAATTATGAAAAAGAAGGAACAAAATAAGATAGTTACAGTCATTTCCATGTTTACAATTTAAACATTGTGAAGATAATCGCTTAAAACCCCTTTACACCTCTAAATGTTTTCTCTGCACGTTTTTGATGACATTATCAAAATCAATTCCTTTTGGTAATTTGTTTTCAGCTGACAAGATGGCTAAGCCGGAGAGCCGAGCTTGACTCCTAATTGATCCAACTAAGGTAACTATTGATTAAATTTAGTTTTGCTTAAAATCCCTTCACATGATTCTACCGAAACACATAACGTTATTTTTAAGAATCTTAAGATTAAAATCACATTTGTCACAAAATCTGAAAGTTCAGATTCAACAAAGAAGTGAAGAAAACTAAGAAAAACCTTATAAAAGTCTACTTTTGAAACTTCAGTAGCTTGTAGTTGTTCTCTAAGTCCTGGAATCTCTGTAAGAATACTATCTCAAGAAAATTCATCATAGTTGACGACTCTATAATAAATGTGGACGTTTGTATTTTAAAGTTGTGAAATTCTTGGGCTCGAGAACTACAAGCCGAATTGATATACACTTTCCATATTTTTGCTGCAAGTGTCGATTTCTTGTTAAACCTGTCAGTGCCTTCCAAAATTGATCTTTTTAATTCTTTCTTAATTCAACGTTCTCATATAACACTGGTGTCACGTGCCTTTATTAGGGTTTCCCCTAGTGAACCAAAAGGACACTCTGAAGTAGTTCAAGCGTTGATATGTTGGCTCGCAATGTTCTAGGCTGCATCCCGTAGCTCTAAAGAACATCTGACTTATTTATGGCACTACAGAGTTTATAAATAATCCTAGGCGCACCTTTGTCTGACTTCCCCAATTCTTTTAAGCCTCCAGACTAGACAGTATTCCTATACTAGTCAAATTAACACAAAATAGAATGAATTACAACAATACAAGGATTTTTCCAGATAACTTAAGAACTGTGAAGGATTGACACTAACCACAGATTGTAAAATAACAAAACATCATGTAGGCCTAGTTAGTGCAACACAAGTAAGAATGTAAATAAATGGATTCATGAAGACAAAGTAAACTTTCTAGGGAAACAAAGAAGTCCGTACTCCAAATAGACTCATTTGCCACTAGCAGCAGCAATTAAAATCATTGCGAAACTGTGGAATTTTGGACCCAAGTAACTGGCACTTGGTGTTAGTAGTTGCTGCGATTTCTAGCCTTCACAACTTATCTGTCCAGGAGGTCCTGTTCATCCGAAGTGGAGCATCCTCCAACAGTTGACACTGAGAATGTTTGAAGTCTTGTGAATGCAACATCAAATCACCACGTTTATAAGCCACTGGAGTCGGAAACAAACTTGAATACAATCGTTTATGATTTATTAGTGTTTATTGCATTAAATAATCTCTTCAAGAAAGAAAGTTCTTTGTCAATTTTAAAATGTTTTATATTAGACTCTACGCCAACATCTGGTCGCGGCAGTTTTTAGCAGCATGACGAGATAACAAGCCCCTGGGTTAAGGATACAAGCTGATGGTGAACATCGAGGAACAGTGGACAGTTGTAGTCTCATGTAGCCCTAGACCTTGGTACATGGACATGAGTGAAGGCTCACTGAGGATTCCTCATAATGTAGGCTATAAGCTGGTTACACTTGATGAGTGTCAGGATACTGATCGTTGACCTGGACTTCAGATATTAATAACAGCATGTGAGAAAGAGTAAAATCAGAGTTCGCAATTGCTAAACACCATACCCTGTTTACTACCCATCCAAGTTCCTATAGTATTTCAGCTCAGCTGTCTGTTCTAGGCTTTCATAGACCAATCAGGTCCTTAACAACCCCAGGATGACCAGAGAAAGTAGTGAGGTTAGCAAGAAACTATGTTCTCTCTAATGATGCTTGCTTGTGACAGCGACAGTGTGCATAAGCCTATATAGGGAAAACACTATTTCTTTTCTATAATAGAGTACTTATACTTACATAAGTATACCACGAACATAAGAATTAAAATGAATGGAAAATGTAATAGCATCCGAAACAGGATACTCCATTCTCACCCTCCCGCAGCCGTTGCTATGTTTACATACGGTCCGGGCAGACGAATCATATTTTAAAATAGATACGTAATGTCCAAGCTGTCTGGATGATCTATCGGGAGAGTATGAGGAGAAAACTTTTATCGGCTTGTAGGTGAACGCTATGGTTCGCGCTTTGCTGCAGTTTGAATGGGTTGATAGCCAAGATCTTTTCCTTTACATAGCCACATATGTCTTACACTCAGCAGTAGGGCTGAATGCTTCAGTACTGATAATCTAAAATGCACTTACCCATGCTCAGGAAGTTCCCAGGTGAATCAGTGACTTTTAGACAGAGTTAAGCAGATAGACAGACAAGGCAGCAAGCCGTCTATTTAGTCTGGAAGCTCAGTCAAGAATGAGTCCTTAATCTAAGCGTCCCTCTGGCTAGAGGCAGGAGGGGATTCCAAAGCGGTAGTTAGGCCAATGGAATTTGGCTTCACTATAAGTAAAACTCAAACACATATGGCTGAATTTAAATATATTTCATTCCCAAGAGAATTAGGATAGAATTGAGTACTTATCTAGACATCTTGACTCATAAGTACAAAGGAAGGACTATTTACTTATTGAGGAAAGTCAAATATTCGAAATAAGTTCATTTACATAGAGGTGTACAAGAAATGGGCAAGTCCAAGACCAGAGAGGTGTGGGCTGTCATGCGACAAACGTGAGTGGTTGATAATTTTCTTTTTTCTGACGGTACTTCCTTTCATGTCCATCTCTTCACAGGTATTAGTTGAAAACTGCAGCGCCGTCTCCTTGATTCTATTTCTTGTGTCTTTGACAACAATTTCCAGACTTCTTATTTTGATAACACACTTTTCAAAACTTATTCCAACGATTTGTAGGTATTTCAGGGCTTGGGAAACTTCTAAGAGATTAAATATCCCCTCTTCCCCCAAGTGTTAAAATAAAAAACAATTAAATTGCATACTGCTGGAAAAAAAAGGTTTGCACTTCTCCTCTGGTTTCAAAAGTGTCTGTGGGATTACACAGTCCTTCCCTCTATACCATCATCGATCTCTTTGAAATTAGCATGTATAGGTTTTGCAGTGACCAGTTTATCGTATATGTGAAAGGCTCTTTTGACTGTTACTCCAACCGTAATTACAAGGTTCCTCCTTGTGTCTGTGGAAAGTGAGAAAGAGCAGTAAGGCAGTACGTATTACGTTGAATTGTTGAGGGTTATTAATAGCCAGACGAAGTTATTGGGCGTGTTGTGTATAATACTTTTATTTCTAAAATATGAGATAAGACAATAAAATGAGAATTCTTTTTTCCTAAACACTTGTTTCTGCCATTTTCCTTATCCCACTCCGCGATGACACCTGGGGTGACCCACAGTTTCACCTTTTGTTTTCTACCCCCCTGGACAACATATTATAGGACCTTCCTGTAGAAGAAAAAAAAACTATTCAATGAAAGATTACCAGTTTACATTTTTTCGTGCGCTTCTTCAAGGTGGGTAGATTTAAAAAGGTATATTCAACAAGATCGCTTACGCTCCAACGATGCTTGACTGTGCGAGGGACTGATTACTGGCGGTTGACCTGCCTGGTCACGAGAAAAACCTACAGGTAATCCAAAAGACCGGCCTGCGATCTGACATAGTCCTACACTCTGCGGAAAAACAACAGCTCATCCTGATTTAGCTGACCGTGCCGTATGAATCGCGAATGAACGAAAGTCATATGTATAAGCTCGATATTTATAGTGAACTCGCGGCTGATCTGAGGAGAGACGAAAGGTACACAGTAAGAATCTTTGACGTCGAGGTAGGCGCAAAAGGTCTCATTTCTACTTCTATGCACAATGTGATTCTGCAACTGGTCTTGAGAGGAAACGAGCGCAAACGAGCACTGAAACAGCTGGGCGAGGCTGCTGAGAGAGTCTCGAGCTGGCTTTGGACACAACGGAACGTCGAGGGAACGGGCCTCGGTCAACTGGTCCGGGTATCTAGTCGAAAAAAGGTCCTATCCCTCAAAAGTCCATCTTGTCCGAATTGTCTGCTGGTGTCCCTCTGCCATTTTGCCAACAAAGTCTAACATGTGTCTGATAAACCAACCGTAAGCTTGCCATTTGGTCGTCCAGGTATGTTGACTGCTTTAATATGCTACCGCAGCGACTGTAATTAAACTTTGAATCTCACAGTACCTGTTGCATAGTCACCAATTTCGTCTTGTCCCTGTCCGAGAACATCCGGTAATACGTACAGCAGGAGCAGATCAAGCCTGAGCTTCATGAACTCAGGTGGGCCCACTCTCTGAAAATGTTTAGGAGCTGGTGGGCCGAAACAATTGTGAACGAGGGATCACTTCTACTGATGACTGGTAGACTCCTGCTGTACATGCACCCTTGTGGAGTTTCTTCTTACTTATTTTCGTAAACGGGAATATAGATCACGTGACAACCACGACGGTATCAGCCATATTCTGCATTGTCCCTTTTTACTAGGAATTGAAACTTGGAGCCATATTTTAGCAGTCTGAAGGTACACATAACTGTGTCCAGAGGCGCTAGAAAATGGGGCTTGTGTCTCAGCATCACCCTTTAAAATAAAAAAATTGAAAAGCGCTGAAATTCACTAATTTGTGTGTGTGTGTGTGTGTGTGTGTGTGTGTGTGTGTAGCTTCCCTGGGGTGTCACTGGCAATAGTTTTGTGTGTGTTTGGTTTAACCCCGACAGCACACAAGAGCAGGAGGGACGCTGTAATGTAACACACACTTACATCCTAAGTGAAAAATTATCGGCCCTACTTTTGCCAAATCTATTTACATATATTTCTCTTTATTTGCACAGACTATCGGTTACAGAGAAGTTAGGGGAATGTCCTGTTACATTTTTGTACTCGAGAAGGTAATATTTTCACCTGTTCAATGTTCTTATTTAAGAGTTTGTTTCTAGTAAAACGTTTATTAGGTCACTCTGCAGAGTTGAAAGATGCATTATGTGTGCATTCTGTTCTTCGAGTCATGTCAAGTAATACGAAATTTAACTTTTACCCCCACGCCCCACTCCCCAATAAAAAAGTGCGCTGCGTGTCATTGAATATTATATATGTGTGCCAGTCAATATGTTTCTTTGAATCTCATGTTGGGAGCCACCGTGGTGAAGCGGTTAGACGCTCGCTTACAGTAGAGCCACCGTGGTGTAGCTGTTAGACGCTCGCCTACAGTAGAGCCACCATGGTGTAGCGGTTAGATGCTCGCTTACAGTAGAGCCACCATGGTGTAGCTGTTAGACGCTCGCCTACAGTAGAGCCACCATCGTGTAGCGGTTAGACGCTCGCCTACAGTAGAGCCACCATGGTGTAGCGGTTAGACGCTCGCCTACAGTAGAGCCACCATGGTGTAGCGGTTAGACGCTCGCCTACAGTAGAGCCACCGTGGTGTAACGGTTAGACGCTCGCCTACAGTAGAGCCACCATGGTGTAGCGGTTAGACGCTCGCCTACAGTAGAGCCACCATGGTGTAGCGGTTAGACGCTCGCCTACAGTAGAGCCACCATGGTGTAGCGGTTAGACGCTCCCCTGCGAATGGGAAGGTCGTGGGTTCGGGTCCTGACGGAGCCCGGATTTTTTTAAAAAATGACCTTGGCTCCCAGCTCCACCCAACCTTGACTTGGTTCCAGGTATAGTCCTGGGAAGTAAACCCGGCCGGCGTGATGCTGACCATATCACCCACCGAATACTAACTGGCCTACAAATATAGGTTCAGCACTATATGCCTAATACGCCTAAAGAGGTGGAAAATAGTATTTTACTTTACTTAAATCTCCTGTTTAGTCGAGGAAATCTTAACATAACCCAGACAACATATTTGTCTTTTACAAGGATTGTGCTTTTGACCCAATTTTTTTAAAGTTGCTTATCCTTTACAAGACGTTGCAGAACCAACTCCGGCAATTTCTGGCTATTGTGGTTTTTCTAGGCAAATTTACGTCCAGTAGTTTGCCATTGCTTGTGGACGGTCGGCTCTCGGTACCACGGTCGAAACCATCGCAAGACAACCCGTCCGCAGCAGGGTTCGAACCCGGCACCCCGCCATTTCCAAGCGCGTTCGCAACGCTTAAGCCACAGACGCCGACTTTTGACCCATGTAGAAGTAAATTATAAGCACAATAAGAACACGGAAGCCTGGTATGTACAACAGGAGTCTACCGACCGTCGGGAGGTTCTCCCCTAGAACAATTATTTCGGTCCTTTACTTCCCTAGATAATCTCGGCCGCGGACCGATCCAGGCCATATCTCCCGGGCCTCGGACATCGGTTCCTTATTTCGGACAAGACTTTATGGTAATTGCAACAGGTACTGAGGTTTTCTTAATGTTAAAGGCACAAACATCTTGAGAAAATCAGAAAAATAATTGACATGAATAGAGATCTGAATTTTTCCTTTATTGATAACACTAAAGCATTTGATAAAATGAAACATGAAGAAATTATTAGAATTTTTGAAACCTTAGACATTGATGGTAAAGATCTAGGAATAAAACATAAACTGGCAACAGCAAGCAGCTATACGTTTTGATAACCAAATTGGAACTTTGAAAAAAAACTAAACAAGGCGTTAGATAGGGATTACCCCCCCCCCCCCCCCCCCATTTGGGTTCCGGGCCCAATTATAGGGAAAACAAGAATAGACCCACTGACTACCCTAAAGCATGTCGTAGGAGTCGACTAATTAGTAGCTTCCTTCAAAGTCGGAGTGCATCTGCCTGAGAGGCAAGGAACTAACATTCTACACACAAATGTGTCTGATCTGTCAAACGGATGCACACGCAACACCCAGGTTCTGTAACAGGACTGCAGTCCAGAAGTGGACGAACAACCGTAACTTTTCGCCAGAGTTTACAGATGGTGAACGCAAATAATAAGAAGAAGAAGATGGGGATGTGTACTAATACTCGATTTTTTTTTCTCCAGTTTATACAGTGAAATAATAATTGAGTCCATATATGGCATGACAGGAATAGGGGTTGGTGGGTAAATTATTACCACCATGCTATATGCTGACAATATAGTTTTGATCGCTGAAAATGAAACACAGCTGCAAGAAATGATGGATATATTTGAAAAAGAAAGTGAAAACAAGTTCTAAGTTTGAGCAAAAGAAAAACATAAGTAATGGTAATTACAGAAGTAATGGTAATAACAAAGAAAACTGATCCTCCAAAATGCAATATAAAAATAAATGGGACAAACCTCATGCAAGTTAATATGTTTAAGTACTTGGATACCCTGATAACATCAGATCAAAGATGTACTAAAGAAGTTAAATGCCGAAGGCAGCATGTTACAAAAATGAAGAATATTTTATTCAATCTTTCTTTGTCAGTTGAGAAGAGAAAGAGAATTCTTAAAACCTATACAAATCATATATTGATACACGGAAGTGAATCATGGACAGTTGCTAAATTAGTCAAAACCTGTTTGGAAGTTAAAGAGATGTGGTTTTAAAGACGAATGGTGAGAATATCCTAGACAGATAAACAGAACAATGTAGAACGACACTGACTCAGGAAGAGAACTGATTGCCCACATCAGAAAGAGACATGATTGCCCACATCAGAAAGAGACATAATTGCCCACATCAGAAAGAGACATGATTGCCCACATCAGAAAGAGACATGATTGCCCACATCAGAAAGAGACATGATTGCCCACATCAGAAAGAAACATGATTGCCCACATCAGAAAGAGACATGATTGCCCACATCAGAAAGAGACATGATTGCCCACATCAGAAAGAGACAATCTACGTTCTTTGGTCATGTGATGAGAAGGAGAAAACTGGAGTACATCATGACAGTAGAAAAGTTAGAGGGGAGGAGACGGAGACGGAGACCGAGAGAACAGAAGCTAGACAGTTTGACATCATGGCATAGAAAATAATATGTGCCAAAGTTGATTGAAATTACACGAGACAGAAGATTGTGGACAGACATGACTACCAACGCCACACGGCACGGACTTTAAACAGAAATGAGATTATGGTGATGTATCGTCACTGCAGAAGCAAATTGAGCACCCACCTATATAACCAGAGTGACAAACGTTAATAGTGCAGACTTTAGCAGTTCGCTTTAGCAGGGGCAGACGTAGTTTGCCCATGTGTTTAGTAATGTAATTGTCATTTAGAGCCATCTGGGGCCGAACAAGAGTTGAACCAGCTCTACAGTCTTTTTACAGTTTCATATCAGGAAAACATGAGACATATATGTCGAACGTCTACATCCTACATGACGTGATCATGAAGAAAAACTGGCACATAAACAGCATCCTCTCCCGAAAGTTGAGATATTTTGGACATATCAAGCGCTATGTCTGGAGAGAAACACGATTTAAAAAAAAAAATCGACCACGTTCAACATATTGCGAGCAGTGTTGGTTATGTTGGCTAAGAAATGTGAGTTGCACCAACATAAGTGGCTTGGACCGGTACTCTTGTATCTAGTGAGGGCTGTAGGGGGTACATTCCTAGAAAACGAAACAGAGGCCGGCCTCTGTGAAAGTGGGCACCGGACATTGCAGAAGCATTAGCTGTGAAATAACACAAGTTAGGTAGGTAAGTTGTACCCCACCCTATAATCACACAAGCGATAAACACCCAGTGACCCAAAGTGCTACAAAGCGGATGAGGATCACCCGTGGAGATCTCCTGGAAACCCCATTTAGCCGTTAGGCCATATCTAAGGCCCGGTTTATTTGGGCTCCCGGCAAAAGCCAGGGTGCTGGAGATTTGGCTAAAGAGACTTTCAGGCGTGCCATGAAGAGAGCGGCAGCCTGTAAAGAACATGCTGATGGATTGAATACTGTTACAGTCTTAAGTGAGGAGCGGCTGGCGAAACGGTTAGAACGCTGGGCTCTCAAGCGGGACACCCAAGTTCGAATCCTAGGTAAGGCTAGGGATTTTTTTATGTCGCGGGCAAAATAAAATCCTCACCTTCACCTGCAAAGTCAGGGCGACAGCACTAGCCATGCTGTCGTAAATCCCCAGGCTCAAAGCCCCCCGTGCCTTCACCTCAAAAGTGGTATAATAAAGACAGTAATTGGCAGTTTGATAAAAACGTACGTAATTATGCTTTTACAAACCAGTGATGCATTTGAGGCCAGACTTATATTTTTATAGACACATGTGCCTTTGATGAGTGGAATGCGGACCTGGGGATGCTATTAATGTTGTGGAGAAAATGTTACGTGAATGAAAAATACCGATATAGACAAGAAGCACACGTCATTGTTTCGTGTTGGCTTAAGGTCATAGAAGTAGTCAAAGATTATATATAAATGGGTTGTGTAACGAACATATTGATAATGTTTAGAACGAATTTCACACACTTAGCGCGAACATTTTGCGAGATTACACACAAAAAAATTATAAAATAAAATTGCACTTTATAAATTCCGGAATATCTGAGATGTTTTGTTTTGTTTTGTTTGTTTGTTCATTGAGGGTTAGTCGAAGAAGAGGAGGGCAAAGAAGAACCTGGAATGACAACATTAAGAAATGCATAGGACTAAGTTATCACACACCTTTTCTTCAAGCAGAAGACAGAGAAAGATGGCGGGTTTTATGTGCTAGTGCTTCCATCAATACACTTCCACCCGACCACGACCCTATTGGGTCAAGGATTATGTTATGTTATGTTTTGTTATGTTTTGTTATGTTATGAGTTTTTTTTTCTTGGCTCACATTCCAGGGTGCAACTATTGAAGTTAAATGGACGATCCAATCATTAAGTTGCATCGTGGATGGAAGAAACACACATACAGACTTGGTAAAAGAGTTCAGTATTTTAATGTAACATGAATTTATAGTCAACTAATGCGCACGCTATATAATTTCAGTCTAGAGAAATGGCGGGGACACCTATGAGCATGACCTGCATTTCCAGTCAAAACAGCAGATTTGTCATTTGTGGATGGATAGCTTCGATGGAGGAAAAGGTACGATATTAAGATAGAACGAGATGCACCCCATCATTTTTATTGGCTATTGTCTGTTTGTATGGTTTCATTACTACATCCATATCATAGCTGTCTACTTTTTGTATTTTTGTATGGCTTCATTACTTCGTTTATATCATTGCTGTCAAACTTTGTCTATTTCTGTGGCTTAATTTATTTTTTAATTTATATCATTATTGTTTATTTTATCATACCATTGCTGTCATTATATGGCTATTTAAATGGTTTATTACTGTATACACGCGATTACTTGTACGTTTCTATATGTTTGGCTTTATTGCTACATCCAGACGATTGTTGGGTCTGTCTAGAATGTTTGTTATACATATGTCTAACTGTCCAGTATCATAGGTAATGTCGTCCTCTGCCTCTCTTCTTCTTCTAATTTCCTTTTCCTTTTCCTTTTCCTTTTGTCACAACGTTCTCCAGTTGTCTCCTGTTTCCAAATTAACCAAAGAATGCAAATTGTCTCTTCCTGACGCTGAATAAAAAAAACGCAATTTAAATTAACGACAGTGTGTAAGGAACATCTTAAAACTATGAGGTAACTGTTGATGTCCAGTTTCCTATGCCTTATCGTCCTCAGCCTCTCTTCCCCTCAAATTTGTCTGATGTCACATACTTCAGTTATTTCCCTGTCACGTAACCAAAAATTCCAGGTTGTCTGCTCCTGACGTAAAAAATCAACACTGTAAATTAGCGACAGTGTGGAAGGCTAAGGACCACCTGAGTCCTGTTAGCTAATCGTTGGTGTTTTAAACTGCTTTAGTTGCTAGAAATAATTAATTTGCACATTAACCGATTTCCCTTTAGTCGATGAGTGAAGTTAATTTTCGTTATCGACTACCGAAATACCACCGTGCATGACTTTTTTCGCTTTATATTTACCGCGGTAGCCAAAAGTATAAGACCAACTCGTGAATAATTGATTTTTACATACATTCACAGAATATTGCGTCTGTTGCTGTTTTCAGCCCATAAAAAGCAGTGGTACAAACGTCGGTGTGGGGGCGGGGAAGTGGCGTGAGAAAGTTCCAAGAAGGGCATCACACAGATTTGTAATTGTAATAATCGGTTCATTTCAATTAAAAATACGATTTTTGTAAACACTAATTATAAAACAAAAAGCGTAGAACGTTTTGGTTTTCTCAAGTAGTTTGTATTTCTGTATTACTGGTAATAATCCAAGCAATACAATAACGCCTGCACTTAATTATAGATTAATACAATATTCCAGCTATCCTCCGAATAACGGTCCTAATTATCAAGGCGGAAAATATACCCTAACAGAGCCTCAGTCACGTGTCAATTGCGCACTTCCGTCGTCTTTCGACACCGCCGAGGGTATCCCACACGCCGCTTACCCGGCGTGGATTGTGGATTGTGGCTAACCTAGATGGCTGGGTCTCACGAGCAAATAAAATGATGGAAACTGCAGGAGATACGGTAGCTGCTGCTCGTGAGTCCCAGCCAAATTTTGTCTTGTCCTGTCCGAGATTATCTGGTAATACTTGCAGCAGGAGCAGATCAAGTCTGAGCTTCATGAACTCAGGTGGTCCCACCCTCTAAGATTGTCTAGGAGCTCGTGGGCAGAAACAATTGTGGACGAGGGATCACTTCTACTAATGATTGGTAGACTTCTGCTGTACATGCTCCCCTGTGGAGTTTCTTCTTATCTTAATAATCATTTAAACAAGGCTCACAATCGATGAGGCCCTACCCCCTTTCCCCCCTCCTACAGGAACAGGTATGTGCGACTGAGTTGCCACTATGTTTTCTTTGTGTCGGAACAACTGATAATCACGGTACGAATTACACCGCTGATGACAATAGTGGTGTATTTGTTACGAATACATTGTTACATTATTTATTTAAAGCAGACAACCAAGTTCAGCCAAGTGTTTGGTAAATAATGTTTTTTATTTGCATCTTCATTTTAAAACTTTAGGTTTGACCTCTGCCTTTATCGCCCGATGCGAGAGCCTTTTCTGCTGTAGACTGCAACTCCAGAAAGCAGGGCCACGTCATGGACAAACACATTAGGACGTTCTAGAGTTTTCTGTAAAGCTGCTGGTAAAGTTATATAAGAACCAAGGAACCAGGTATTGTATCCTAATATGGTAAGTGTTCGCTAATTTATATGTCAGAACGATTGATTGGACAGGTATTTTTGAATATCACTTCATCAAAGGTTTACTACTCAGATTACGATTGGACACTACGGGTGAGGTCTCTGGCCTGCAAGAAGATTCGATTGGTAAGTATAACCTGTGACGTTACTAATTATCGTAAGGGCGTTGGCGATCATGCGATCATTCATATTTCACATCATTTTCACGTCATCCCCTCCCCTCCCAAAATTAATACATTTAGTTTCTCAGTTTCAGGTTTCAGGGAAAATATGGCGAGTACCATTGCACAGATCAACAATGCCGTTAATGTTGACACAAAAATGTTATGCCATTTTATTAATGAAGGCTCCCCAACTGTCTAATGGTGGCAAAAAGCTTCAGTCATTCATCGAATTCGAGCGTAAATGACGTACCATTCAGTTATTACAATTATGATTGTTCCGGTAACCTGACGCAAAATTAATTATAAAGGCAATTTAGGTGTCTGCAATCTGTTAAATGTATAAGGCGGGAGCAATGTTGCAGAGTCATCACTTGTGCTAAGCTAAATCCGCACCGCAATGCTTTTTATTCTTCAGTAATTAAAATAGTATTAAGATTTTACAATCCACACACGTCTTTTTACCGTCTGTAAGAAAAGTAGAAAACGTGTTTTTTCGTCAATAGCAGTGAGTGCAAGTAACCGGAAGACTGATTAAGTCGTTCGTAGCAGTCTACGGGTGAACGACTAAACACGTCTATAGCAGCGAAATAGTTAACCACACAATTGGATTTACATGCGGCCACTCAGCGTGCCGTTGATGTATAACTGTTCCCAGTGTCCTGCTTGTAAAGCCCGCTATAGATTTTGGATGCCTGATCTAGGCCTAAATATGCAAGAGATTACAAATGAAGCAGAAAATGCAAATATTCCAAAAAGTTCCAACAAAAAATGTATCAGGACCTATTGCTAAAACCGTGAATCATGGCTATCTTCTAGTACTACAGAGCAATTCCCTCTGCCAAGTTTAGTATTCTGGCTGAGTTTTTTAATTTACGGACTAGCTTTGCCGCGCCATCTGACAGTTTGGGACTCATACATTAATATATCTTGCGTTGAATCCTGCTTACAAATACCACGATCAGAAATATTAATAAATTACTCACAATTCCAACCGTTATCCAGCTTCCAACAGCACGACCCCAGGCTTCACCACAGGAGCAGGATCGACCAGCAAGGAACTGACGACAAGCACGCAAACATCTCCAACAGTCCGTCAAGACTTTGAATGTCATCTCTCTTACATGCAAGTGTTCATTCCTGCAGTTTTAGTTCCCAACAGTGAGGTAAGGCCTGTTTGCACACTATTTGTGTTTATTAGTATTAGTCTTAGTCTAGGATTCACTTCACTGCAATCAGGTCACCCCATACCTGTTTCGTCTCTGTGCCAGGTTTTTTGTTTTAGTATCCAGAAGCCATGAGTTGTTAACCCTTAGGCTCGGTATTATGGATATCGAAACCTTTCGGTCTTGATTCCATTGTAAATACCGTAAATCTGGGAGACATGTGGCTTTTATGCCTACCCCCGGGAGTGAACCCGGACCACAAGGAGTTCGTCACCCGCTTACTGCGCAATCCGGTTTAGCCAACTACGCTAGAGAGCGGGGCTCTCTGTGCCAGTAAACAGATTATTGTCCCCCACTGTCTCATGTAAAAAACTGTTAAACAATGTCGTGGCACAATCCAGAAATATGCACACGCAGTAAATGCAACGGCAGTTGCAAGAGGTGCCAAATACATCATTCGCTACCAGAAATGCAGTTTATTGTTGATGAAAGTAGTCGGTCACGTTAAAATTATGACATGAGGTATTTCGCCAACCCACACATAAAAAAGCTGCAGATCATATTGAATACCACGACTCAATCGCAGCACAAATAAAAACCATTACATATGAAAAACACAGGTCACAGTGCTGCACCGAGCACCTAACTCGGTAGCTTAGGCAGTGAAATCGCAGACTTCTGTCCATATGTGGTAGCTGCATTAGCCAACGTCTGTAAGAAGCAGCAATAACTTCGGAGCTAATCATTCTGTCATGCCTAATCCCCCACACTGGACCATAAGTCTTGTGTTAATTTAAACCTCTAAAGCCCTTTGTGCCGTCTCCACAAAGGAGATTGGCAGCAGTGCACACACTGTTAACTACTGAAATATTATTGATTCACAGAACTCATTTTTCATCATAAGAACATCGGTCTAATCTCAAAATGCTTATCGATCTAGTTGAAACACATCTTTTCTCCTCCTCATCCTCCTCCTATTGCTCCTCCTCTTTCTTCTTTTTTGTTTTCTTTTTCTCCTCCACCCCCTCTACCTCTATATGATTTTTTGGGTAACATGTACAGCTGACCCTGAAAGACCCAACCTGTAAACTCAATAACAACGGGACGCATCACAAGATCACATTTGCTTACGATGAATGCGGCACTTTGGAGACGTTCTACACGGACTACGTTGACATTAGGAATGAAATCAGCGTGCACTTGGTGAGTAGGTCAGCTATGTCTTTTAGAGATAATAACACACTTTCAGCAGTTTTAGTGAAAAAGGAAAAGTAAATAACCAATTTCCTGCCTTTGACGCATCTGAAAAATAGTGCAAGACCTGTTGTTTTGTAAGTCCATTCAGCAATCAATGGATAATGTATCAGCATCAAGGTGGTCACCTTTACTTCCCTGGGTATTCAATCTATCAGTGCTGGGGCGTGTGTGGTCTCGGGACATGGTGTCCGCCTCGAGCGCTAGAGGTTCCGTGTTTAACCCCCTGTAGGGCTGGGATTTGTTTCACTTGGACTTGAACTTCTAGTAATTCCCTCTGGTCTCTGAATAGTGAGATCGGACGCCCGTGTGCATTGTTGCCCACGTAAAAATGCCCTTGGCACCTGGGAATAAAAAGAGTAGCCTAACGGCGCCGTCCGGGCAAAACTTTTCAGTCAAAAATCTACCCAAAGTATTTCAGGATCCTCGCCGGTGCTACAGAGTCTGTGCGCTGTCCTGAGCTTCCTCGGACTCAGACTTGAGTTAGAAGAAGAACGGAGCACTTATGGGTTACATCTGTGTGCCATGATGTTGATCCGTTGTTCAAATATCTGTTCAAATCAGTAAGTGAGCATGTCCTTTACAGAACGGTGCTCTCTGAACGGCCCGAATAAAAATCCTTCTTTCTCTAGCCAATTCTAAAGCCTTTTGTGCATTCAAAGCTAAGGCATCTTTAATGTCCTGTACCCAACTTCATCCAGGATTCATACCCCACCCCCCCCCATTAATGCTTTCTCCAGACCACCATGCCGCTCGATATGTCCACTGTACCTCAGATTACTAGAAAGGCTGCTGTTTTCGAGCCAGTTTCTACCTGATGTTCAAGTCGTACCGCATTTCTACATTATTCTTTTTCTTGGTTCACGGTATTCTGCAAATTTTTTTGTAGCATTTTAGCTCAGAAGCTCTTGTTTTTTTCTCCTATGGCTTTAGCTGGTATCATTTTTAAGCTTTTGGGGTGGGAGCTTATGTCATCTAAAGAAGAATTCCATCTTGGTGTAGATTTGAACTTTACACATTTAGGCTGACAGGCGAGCATTTAGCAACTATACCACCAACATCATCATTATGTAGCTGGTCCTTTGAAGAAGGTCGCTCTCATCACTATCTGCCTGAAAGGAACTTGGTCTTTTGCTAGCTCCTCCGCATCCTGCAGAGACATAATTTAAAAAAGTGATCTTTGCTCCCAGGTATACCCAGCCTTGAATGGGTGCCAGAAAAGTCACGGGAAGTAAAGGCGGCTGGTGTTGACCCAGTCTCCCACCGAGTGTCGATTGGTGTATAAAAATATAGGTCTGGCCCTATATAACAGATGGCCCAATATATTGAATATGATTTATTTCCCTTTTTTTTAACGAAAGTATTGTTTACAAATGGAAGCTCCAGTCGATCGAATTCCAGCGTTTGTTACTAATATTTAACTGTTGTTGATGAGGTTTTATTTTATTTTACCTATTAGACTTATAACATTATTGAACTCGATTTATTTTTATACATTTTAAAAATTTCAGTAATGTAAGTATAATTATAGTAAATTCCAACGTTTGTAATTACAATTTAGACTTTGTGAACATTTTATTAAAAACACATTTTAACTATTACCTGTTGTACAAATGAATAACTGAGCAAGAAGTGGACTGGAAAAACAGAATGATAGATGGACTGAATTCTCAACCTTTTGAAAATGAAGTTTATTCGTTCTTTTGTAGCCAAAATTCCAGAGGTCGTGGAAAAGGGTCCTTTACTTAACGTTTACTTACTCTTGTATGGATACATGTTTTCCAAGCCTCCTTATGGATGATGGCTTCATTGCATCCTCTTTTGTCTGTTAGAGAATTAAATGTTAAGAGACCAGTCTCTTCCTTGGTGCTACTCTTGTGCCACTGTTTACAATCTACGTAGAAGATCTTTTATAGTCGGGGATAAGGAAATTGTTCAATCACTTTAGGCCACGAAGACGCACTAACTGCACACAGTGTATGTGTTAGAGTTTATCTTAAATACTTGTTGTTACTAATGATCAGCTAAAGTTTTAAAGATAATCTTGTGAGCTTGATATTACTGTGTACTGATACATCGCTAAAATATGGAAGATAACAGTATTATAATTTACAGATACACATCAAAAATAAACTCCCGCCCGCGGATCAGAAGGTTGTGGATTCGCATTTTGACAGCCGTAGTTTTTTCGGAAATGACGCCGACTCCTAGGTCAACCCAGCATTGAGGTGGTACCAGGTGCAGTCATGGAAAGTAAAGTGCCGATTCGTGTATAAAATATAGGTCTAGCACTTTATTCCTAATATGCCTACAGGCGTGGAAAAGTGATCTTTACTATCAAAAAAAAAATTAAGAACACCTTTTGTATTCCTTATTTACAGATAAGCAAATGTAAAGAAGAAACCCTTATGTATTTCTTATTCACATATACACAGCAGATGTACAAATACTCTTATATACTTTTTCAGCGACGCGACGCGCATATATCGTGTGTATTAATCGTCAATTACACCTTCCATTGAGAAAAAATAAGTGCATTATTTTACTATTTAATATTATTACGCCACTTGGTTCACGTCTTGCTAAGCACGTAAGACTTGTTAAGAGTATTATTATAGCTGAAAAAACGTTGGCTACATGCTTAAGTTACTCTTACAGCATATGTAACATGGGAGAGCTACCAGTTATTAATACTACGATGCTAGCTGCGCGCCATACTCTCAACGGTATTGCTTAATTTAGTATAAACTGCTCACACATACACGAATGGATCAGGCTTTGACACTGCTTTGCGTATGTGTATGTGTGTGTGTGTGTGTGAGTATGTGTGTGTGTGTCTAGGTATACACAGTGTAAAGAAAAGTAAAGTAAAATAAAGGACCCTGTTCCACGCCTTTAGGTGTATAGGGCATATAGGGCTAGGCCTATATTTTAAAGACCAATCGGCACAAGATGGGTGATATGGTCAGCATCACGCCGGTTGCCTTTACTTCCTGGGACTGCACTTGGTGGGACTGCACTCAAGGCTGGTTCGACCTAGAAACCAAGGTCATTTGTTTGAAGAAAAATCCAGCTCCGCCAGGGAGCGAACCCAAGACCTTCATGCACAGTATAAGGGGGGACAAAAAAAGATATCCCCATCTATTTGTTATTTACAGATCCTCAATGACACGGACCTTATCACATTTGTGGAAGACTACAAGATCCCTCTGCAATGCTCACTGGACCGTAGTAAAATACTCAACGTCGCCATACAAGTCAGTTTGTGTCTCTACATATTGATTTCTCAGCTTCCTTATGTAGGTGGCGGGGCCCTATTTATGGAGGTTTCGGTGGAAAAAAGGGGGGGGGGGGTGACAGAGGGTTGTAATTACCTACCAACTGCCCCCAAAAAGCATGTCGTTACAAAAAAATGACTGTTCGAATTTTTCTAACATGCGATGTGTTGCTTGAAACCACAGAATACGTAATAGAAGAAGACTATTTCTGATAAAAACGGTGGGTTCTTCTTTAACCATACAACACTCTCCATTGCTTGTCGCATGACACAATGGATGCGTTTATAATCAAGGTCTTCAGCTGTTCTGTATCTTCAGACTGCATGGGCAACCGGCTCGCCTACAGGCAGGGACAGTGTTTGAGCCTGTCTCCTTTGATTGCATCATCTCCTTTGATTGCAACAACACTGCAAGAGTCTTTGTTAATATTAGGCCATTTTATATAGCGCAACAAAAACCTACATGTGTAACCAAAAGCTCCCCCTTCGAGGGTTCTGATTGAATGTTACGATTTTGTGTGTGAAAAACAAAGCAATCTTCAGGCTATTATGCAAAGGTAGAGATTAGTTAACCGATTCTTCACCTCGCACGGTCCTAGACGTGCTCATACCATAGGGCCATCAAAGTTCAGCTGTTGCCCTTGTTCTAGATACCTCGCAGATCGTTGAACCATTTCGAGTATATGTGTGCCATAAAGTACAGTCTTGTGCTGCAGCCTCCTAGGAGTCAGGGTTTATGCTGAAGGATTTCAATGATGCCTTTAATGTGTCCTTGAAGAGCTTATTTTTCCTGACGACCCGGAGAATGTCGACCTTAATGTTGATTATTTTTGGGAACCGATGGTCAGGCATTTGAACAATAGGGCCAGCCCATCGAACCTGTGACTGCATCAGGGTGATATTGATGCTGGGAATGCCAGCCCTGTCTAGCACTACAGTGTCCGGGACCATTTCTTGCCACTTAATGTTCAGTATCTTTCTCAGACAGACTGTATGGAAGTGGGTGATTTTTTTTTCTGTGTTCCCTGTCGTCTGTACACAGTCCAAGTTTCACAAACTTACAGTATCACTGGAAGCACTGTAGTTCTGTATACCTTCAGTTTGGTTTGCAGACTGATGCCACTACGATGCCAGACATTCGTGTATAACTTGCCAAATGTGCAGCTGGCTTTAGGGATCCTGGTGCTCACCTCATTGTCGATGGTGCCATTCTGAGACAATGTACTACCGACGTATGTGAATCTATCCAAAAACTTCAATTTCTTGCCATTTACCAAAATGGTTGTTTCAGGGTACACTTTGCCTGGTGCTGTTGGTAGATCATTTCGGTTTTCTCTGTGTTAATTACAAGCCCGAAATTGGTACAGGCCTCGTAGAATCTGTCAATGTTATACTGCAAATCTGCTTCTGTACCGGCATTAAGAGCAAAGTCATTAGCAAACAGAAGATCCCTAATAATACATGATTTAAATTTTGTTTTCGCTTTGAGCCGCCTAAGATTAAACAGTTTTCTACCAGTGTGAAAGCAATTATCAATTCCTTTATCTCTATCTCGAAAAGCGTCAAAGCGTTCAGCTGAGAACATGTTAATGAATAGAGTAGTTGCAAGTACACATCCTTGTTTGACACCATTTGTAACTTGAAAAGGTTAAGAAAATTCTCAATTTTCCTGGATTCTGGCCTGAATTCCATCATGCAGTTGCTAGATATTAATAATAAATTTCTTTGGGTAGCCATATTATGCCATGATCTTCCACAGAACCTCTCTGTTGACTGAGTCCAATGCTTTTGAGGTTAATGAAAGCCTTGAACAAATCACAATGCTGTTCCTGACATTTTTCTTGTAACTGCCTTTCTACAAACACCATGTCTATAGTTCCGCGCTCTTTCCAGAATCCGCATTGGATTACAGTAGCAGTCCTTCTTTAAAGTGTGTCGTAAGATGCTGTATCTAGCTAGTTACATACTACAGTAACAATTACATACACAAAGCAATTAGTGAGCCTTTAGAACTAAAGTAAAAATTGAACAACAGTTATAGAATCACGTCTATTTGTTTACTGTCATTGATACTTTGTGGTATCAACGAACCCTCTGTTTTTCTTTAAAAAAAAAAAACATATTTATAAAAAAAAAAAAAAAAAAAAATTAATAAGCATATCGTAAAAGATAGCTAATTAAGAGAGTCTTGAATTCTAATATATGTTCGGAAGAAAAGCACAGATATCATTGTCTAGCTATGAACCAAAAAAGAACGTGTCAGTCACCCCGATAGGGGCGAGAAGAAGAAGAAGAAAAAGAAGAAGAAGAAGAAGAAGAAGAAGAAGAAGAAGAAGAAGAAGAAGAAGAAGAAGAAGAAGAAGAAGAAGAAGAAGAAGAAGAAGAAGAAGAAGAAGAAGAAGAAGAAGAAGAAGAAGAAGAAGAAGAAGAAGAAGAAGAAGAAGAAGAAGAAGAAGAAGAAGAAGAAGAAGAAGAAGAAGAAAGAAGAAGAAGAAGAAGAAGAAGAAGAAGAAGAAGAAGAAGAAGAAGAAGAAGAAGAAGAAGAAGAAGAAGAAGAAGAAGAAGAAGAAGAAGAAGAAGAAGAAGAAGAAGAAGAAGAAGAAGAAGAAGAAATAGAAGAAGAAGAAATAGAAGAAGAAGAAGAAGAAGAAGCAGAAGGAGAAGAAGAAGAAGAAGAAGAAGAAGAAGAAGAAGAAGAAGAAGAAGAAGAAGAAGAAGAAGAAGAAGAAGAAGAAGAAGAAGAAGAAGAAGAAGAAGAAGAAGAAGAAGAAGAAGAAGAAGAAGAAGAAGAAGAAGAAGAAGAAGAAGAAGAAGAAGAAGAAGAAGAAGAAGAAGAAGAAGAAGAAGAAGAAGAAGACGAAGACGAAGACGAAAAAAAAAAAGAAGAAGAAGAAGAAAAAGAAGAAGAAGAAGAAGAAGAAGAAGAAGAAGAAGAAGAAGAAGAAGAAGAAGAAGAAGAAGAAGAAGAAGAAGAAGAAGAAGAAGAAGAAGAAGAAGAAGAAGAGGAAGAAGAAGAAAAAGAAGAAAAGAAGAGGAAGAAGAAGAAGAAGAAGAAGAAGAAGAAGAAGAAGAAGAAGAAGAAGAAGAAGAAGAAGAAGAAGAAGAAGAAGAAGAAGAAGAAAGAAGAAGAAGAAGAAGAAGAAGAAGAAGAAGAAGAAGAAGAAGAAGAAGAAGAAGAAGAAGAAGAAGAAGAAGAAGAAGAAGAAGAAGAAGAAGAAGAAGAAGAAGAAGAAGAAGAAGAAGAAGAAGAAGAAGATGATGATGAAGAAGAAGAAAAAAAAGAAGAAGAAGAAGAAGAAGAAAGAAAGAAAGAAAGAAAGAAAGAAAGAAAGAAAGAAAGAAAGAAAGAAAGAAAGAAAGAAAGAAAGAAAGAAAGAAAGAAAGAAAGAAAGAAAGAAAGAAAGAAAGAAAGAAGAAGACTAACATACTCGTGTTTTGTGTTCTCACAGGTAGAGTCCAGAGAGCAAATCACAGAGCGTGTGGAACATTCAGCAGACTTTAGCTTGAAAGAATACACATCGGCCGACTATAACGAGGAGATAACAGAGTACCCAATCAAGGTAGTCATTTGGATAGACTGATTTACAGTCTATGGGTAATCTGGTCATATAATCAATGGGTCATTTGGTCAGCATCACTCAGGTCGTCCTTACTGCTCAGGACATTTTCGAGTATCCATTGAAAAAAAAAAAAAAAGGAGCCTTTGTGGCTAAACGCTCACCTGCGGATGGGAAGGTCGTGGGTTTAGGTCCTGGTAGAACCGGAATTTCAAAAAATGACCATGGCTCGCAGGTCGACCCAGCCTCAAAGGGATACCAGGTGAAATCATATGAATTAAAGGCGGCCGGCGTATGGCTGGCTGTTCCTGACCTTCATAACCCACTACCTGCCGATTGGTTTATAAAATAAAAGTCTAGTCCTGTATGCCCAATAAGCATAAAGGCGTGGAAAATGGTCCTTTTCTTTTACCTACATATTTTTTATGGGGGGGGGGGGGGTATAGGGGAAATTGTACTTTTATAAAATATAATAAATTTAAACCTAAAATGATGGAAAAAGGGGGAGGGGGCGGGGACAAACATGCCTAAATCCACCGAGTTATGTCCGATCTACGAGCGGGTTTGATAGTCACACTCGCCATCGCCATGGGCCGTGACTCTCACGCCTTTCTGTAGCTCATTAAAGCACTATCACCTGGAACAACGGACTTACGGCAACAACTGTATTGGTTGTATTATAATTTACTCAAGGAAGACTGGCTAATAAAGAGTATCCTGTCTCGGAAGATGAATATTTTGGTCATGTCAAGCGCCACTGGACGGACTGGAAGAAAAAAAAAAAAGCGGAAGGCATGGTAGCAGGAGGGAGGGACATAAGAATGGGCACATGATATAAGTGACTCCTTGAGTATGAAAGTATATGAGGCGGGAGAGCTGGCGAGAGACCGAGTTTCTTTCAGGCAGACCGTGATGAGAGCGACCTTCTGCAAAGGACCTGCTACATCATGATAATTATAAATTACTCCGATATCGGGGCAGCATGCGTGTTGTGCCCAGGGTCAGCATTGTGTATTTTTTTTTAAATTACATTTTCAATGATTCTGTAAAACTTGAAAAAATGATTGTTTTATGTTGTAACCAATATTCTTTTATAGGAATTGGTTCTCAATCCTTTACTGCAGTTCCTCATGTTGTTGTGACCCTAACCATAAAATTATTTACGTTACAGCTTCATAACTTCAGTTAATATGTGTTTTCAGATGAAAGGGTCGTTCGACAAACGAAAGGATTGATACCAATAGGTTGAGAACCACTGCTTTATAACATTATATTATTTCTTTCATTGTGCTAACAGGTTCTTCATTTTTTCTGTTAATAAAAAATTAAACGATAATATATTTCTATTATTAAAAAGCTTTATATTTGAAAAATAAATGCATTTCATGTTTTAATGTAAAACTCGTGAAAACATCTCAAGTGAAAAAAAAAAAGGGCCGCCCTAGGAAAACATGGATTGATGACATTCAACCGTTTCTACATCAACAATGAATGACAATAACCAATGCTGCCCATCGAGCATTGAATCGCAAACTGGTCCTCCCCACAATGCTTAACGACAGAAGTCAAAATTGATGAAGATGATTATAATATATTGTAAAGGTTTCCTAAATGTATATTCCTTCTTCTTCGTGTCTTGTTCCAGAACCTAATTGTTTAGTGCACATCCATTCTACAGATCTGGCATTTTTGTATGCAGATTGTTTGTTCCCTGCCTCTCAGGCATATGCCCTCTGACTGTGAAGGTAACTCCCAATTAGTCTACTTTTACGACATGCTTGGGAAGGCAGTGAGTTAGTTATTCCTTCCCCCTTCCCCTCCACAATAGGGTTCTGGAACCCACACGGGGAAATTGGTATATGTTAAAACATTTGGGGCTTAAAGGCTAAATCCTGCCATAACTGTAATATCCTTGCATAGAAACTGGTAATCTATTTCTTGCTGGGTTTCAACAACAATTTTTGTTTTTATGTACTTAGTTGGTTAGTTAGTTAGTTAGTTAGTTAGTTAGTTAGTTAGTTAGTTACTTAGTGAGTTAGTTAGTTAGTTAGTTAGTTAGTTAGTTAGTTAGTTAGTTAGTTAGTTAGTTAGTTAGTTAGTTAGTTAGTTAGTTAGTTAGTTAGTTAGTTAGTTAGTTAGTGAGTTAGTTAGTTAGTTAGTTAGTTAGTTACTTAGTGAGTGAGTGAGTGAGTGAGTTAGTTAGTTAGTCAGTCAGTCAGTCAGTCAGTCAGTCAGTCAGTCAGTCAGTCAAGTCAGTCAGTCAGTCAGTCAGTCAGTTAGTTAGTTAGTTAGTTAGTTAGTTAGTTAGTTAGTTAGTTAGTTAGTTAGTTAGTTAGTTAGTTAGTTGGTTAGTTAGTTACTTAGTTAGTTACTTAGTGAGTGAGTGAGTGAGTGAGTGAGTGAGTGAGTGAGTGAGTGAGTGAGTGAGTGAGTGAGTGAGTTAGTCAGTCAGTCAGTCAGTCAGTCAGTCAGTCAGTCAGTCAGTCAGTCAGTCAGTCAGTCAGTTAGTTAGTTAGTTAGTTAGTTAGTTAGTTAGTTAGTTAGTTAGTTAGTTAGTTAGTTAGTCGACATAGCATCGTCATCGCTCATTGAACTATTCAGTCTATAAGTGCTCAGTTCGTCTCTTCGGTCTCTCCCTCAGCGTGTAGCGGCTTATGACACCAGTTCTGTGTGAGTTTACCATTCTTCTTTGGGCCCCATTTGGTTTGCTCTTGTCTGGCTTCACACCTTTTGATGTTATGTTCGTGTAGTCTAGTGAGTGTTACAGATTCACAGTCATTACTTGATTCGTTTAATCTAGCTGTTAACCATCTTTTAATCACATCTTTTCAATAGGTACCACTCAACAGGGAAATATTCTTTGAAATAACTTTGAGAAACAACAGCAACAGCAGTATTGGAGTCTACGTTGAACAATGTGTGGCCACTCCTTCGGATAACCCTAACGATACCACGCATGTCACCTTGATTGATGTTGGGTGAGTCCTTCATTAATCTGTAAATTAACCTGACCTCAATATGGAGCACAATTTTGTGTAATTTTAAAGCCCAACCCCCCCCCCCCCCCCGGCTGTAGTCGGGGGTCCAAATATAACCTAATGGTTTAACATGGTTCCTGGGACTTGTACCTGGGTGATTCTCATCCGAATAGTGGCACTTTGTGTCACCGGGTGTTTATCGCTCTTTGTGCGGTCCTGGTGGGGTTGAACGTCATTTAGTCATTAGCCTGTGCATTACTGGGGTTTATAAAATAGTCAAGAACACAATGTTTCCCGTGTGGTTTCAGAGACTAAAAATTGTGTGCGGGTAAATACAAATGGACTACTGCCCTGCCCCCCCCCCCCCACGCCCCCCCCCCCCAACAAGCATGTATTAAAAGTCGACTAATGAAAGTAGGTTGGCGCTATGCTGGGAACAAAAATCGTCACTTTCAATCAGCAAACACCGTAGAGGGAGCTTTAGGTTATAATTATGACTAGGTTATGTGCACCGTATAACATGGCTTAGCATTGCACGCCACAAGAGCCCCGAAAACGACTCCTGCAGAGTTGATGCGATTAAAGGAGACAAACCCAAATACTGTCCCGACTAGGGACGAAGTCGTCTACCGGCGAACCTATGGGCGACCGGTAACCGATGCTGAGCGCCTAGCTTCTAGACTACAGCAGGTCTAAGACAAGGAAAGTAATCCGAGGGGAAACAATGACAGAATATGATTTTGAACACTGGTTCTCAAAAAGTCAAACCTCCCAAGGATCTACACGATATTGAATGAATGCCAAAAATGCTGGGTTGGTCACCTATACCACATGCCGAACAGTCTTTTGAAAAAGACATGACAAAATCCAGCGTTGGAAGTGAAACTGTTCTTGAATCTTCTGGAATTACCGCAAATATATATGTGCCTGTTGCACCAAACCGAGTAGATGGCGTACTGTCCAAAAGCATAGCGCATCATATGTCAGAAGTGGAGGTTGCACTGACAGATAAACGGAGGCAGACTAGAACGAACAGTGCGGCAAATACCCATTTATACTACAGATTCCATCTGTTGCCTGCACGTCTCCAGAACTCTCCAGGCTAAACATGGACTCATCGGTCATCTGGATACACCCAGTCATTGATCAATACCACACATGGATGCTAAGTAGTTTCCAACACTTGTCATGGATGAACAACACGCGAAGCAAAGATAACGTATGAATCCACATGTATGCTTCCAAGATTTATAAGTCGTCTATTTCGTCTGAAAAATCAGGTCAAAACAGACCTATATCCCCTCCGTCCCAAAACGCAGATACTTGAACATTCTTATATCTCCTACCTTCCACTTCAAAAAGGTCAAAATTAGGAACAATAGTCAGTTCCAAAAGTCCTATCCAACTTCAAAAATCTGTAACTCAGTCACCGTTCGGTTTAAGTTGTTAATATTTCGCATGCAAACTGTTATTAATAATGTATGTGTGCATGTAAGTTGTACCCCACTAGGACATCACAAGCGATTAACACCCGGTGACACATAGTGCCACCATGCAGATGAGGATCGCCCGTGTAGAGACCCGGAAACTAAGTTCAGCCGTTAGGCCATATTTATGGTCCGGCTATATTTAGGGCCCCCGGCAAAAGCCAGGGCGGGCTTCAAATAATAAAAAATTGCGTACCACAAAGGGTTGAGGATCAATAATAATTGCATTAATAATAGTGTTTTTTTCAAGATTATTACTTTTTTAAAAATGTAAACACACCCAAAGTTTTCAATTTGCTTTTTTGCTGTATATATATATATATATATATATATATATATATATATATATATATATAGCAAAAAAGCAAATATATATACACACACAGACACACAGCCAGACATCATTTTAAAGCAAACAATCGCCTGCTTACAGTGACTTGAGTAAATCTGTCGTGGCGCTTCATATGACCAAAATATTTCAGCTTCCGAGACAGGATGTTGTTTATTAGCCAATCTTCCTTGAGTTAATTATAATACAACAAAACTGAATTTTCAAAACATCAGATTATACGCAGTTCATCGGCGTTTCAATCTCATGCGGTCATCTACAACATTAGTCTCCCATGAGATGTGGATTTTTTTTATTGAGTGACGAATAGGCTATCTAAATAATCACAACACATCTCTGGACATGTGAACTGACTTCCAATCAATTTCCACGCGTATGTCAGTTACTGTATATTCTTCTTCTTTTTTTTTAAAGGGTACACAAAATGTTAGTCAAACAAAGATCAAAGAAATTAGCCGTTTTAAGAAACCATCAGCATCGGTGGAATTATGAATTAAATAATCATAAGGGCGTGGGATATGTAAGGTCACATTCAAAAAGTCGTGTTGATCAGTTTGGACTTTTCCTTATGTTTGTCATGAGCTTAGAAACGCACTATACATTTTACGCAATTGCATAATTTTCAGTAAAATGGGGACTGAACGCTTAGATCAGCGGTTCTAAACCTATGGGTCGCGACACTTTCTTGGGTCCAACGACCCTTTCACAGGGGTCGCCAAAGACCATCGCAAAACAAATGTTCATTGAAGTTATGAAGCAGCGACGAAATTAATTGTATGTTTGGGGGTCACCACAACATGAGGTACTACTAAAGGGTCGCGGTATTAGGAAGGTTGAGAAACACTGGTTTAAATGATTTCGGCATGGTGCTTACAAATATCCTTGTTTCCATTCAACAGATGCTCGGCACACACCGCCGTTAAAGTTCAACCTTCTACAGAAATAGATCGATTCCGTTTCAGCACCCAGGCTTTCCGCTTCTCCGGAGATTCCCGTATCGACAACTTGGTGTACATCCACTGCTCCATGAGCACTTGTGGAGGCGCGAACTGCCAGCACTCGTGTCTCCCTCACAGTCGTAGAAGAAGAAGAAGTGCACGAAAGATGACTTCTGCGATTTTGACCTCCGGCTCACACGTTGTCACCAGTTAACAGGAATTTCCCAGAAATGAATACCATACGTCCGGATTTTGACCTTCCTATGACCGTATTTTTTTTTCTTGCTTACAATATCATAACAGTACTGTAATCCTTTGCTTTGCGCCGTTTTGCATTATTTTATTTCTTTCCTGTTTAAATTTCCTGCATGATTGTCTTCCTATTACTTATCTAGTATTTTGTTTATTTTGTAAGAAACATGTTAACTAACAAATTAGATTTTTACTAAAAATAATAACGTTAACTAAAAAATAATATGTTTAATTATAACAAGCAGTGATATTTCTGCAGTTAAAACCTCGTAACAATACATGTATCAGTAGATGCAACACAACATAATTGACTTATCCCTTATAATATCTGTCTAATGTGAGCGAATACATGTCTCATTACTTTGACAAACAGACACGAATATGTGCAAATACAAATATTCCAACACATCTCAGCACACATTTTCATACACATTTTTATACGTAACTCAACGTATGTCTTTATGCTTATCTCAGTATCAATTTCTTTGCATAACTCAGTGCTAATCTCTATACGTGTCTCAATACACATCTCTTTAAGTATCTCTATACACATTTCTATACGTTTCCAATTCCCATTGCTAAATTTATCTCAGTACTCATCTCTATGCTGATTTCAATTCCTATACTATCTTAGTTCGCATCTCTGTGCACATCTCTACATCTTTATGCGTGTCTCTAAACATATCTCAGTACATACCTCAGTACATAACTCAGTACGAATCTCTATATGTATCTCTATAGGTATCTCAGTACACATCTCCATTAGTATCTCAACACATACCTCAGTACATATCTAAGTATATATCTCAGTATACATTTGATTTTTGTGTGTGCATTTTCTATACGTATCTCATATCTCACACATTTCCATGCGCATCTCAACACATATCTTTATTCTTATCTATATGCACATCTCAGTACATATCTCTATACGTATCTCAACACAAATCGCATTCACATATCAATGCATATTGCAGTAAATCTATTAATACAAGCCTTAATAAATACATATCTACACGTCTCAGTATATATTTCACTCCATGCCTTAATACAACTTTCATTAACTTCTGACTGATATAATGTCCACGAGTATTAGTTCTATCTAAAACACACACTACGGTTACCTGATTATTTCTAAAACCTACGTATTGTTAACTGACTTTGAACATTCTTCACGATCGGTTTTAATCATTTTAACATGTCCAATTATGATGTGAATTAGGAACTAAACAAGAAGCTTACACATGATAATACTTTTTTTTCACTAACTTGTAATTGATTTAAAGCTATGAACGAAATGATTTGTTTTTGTTTTTCTTGTTGCTTCATATATGCATATATTCCGACTATAATCAAATAACCTAAAATACGGTCATATGTTTATTAAACAAGTTTCAGCATATCAGTGAGTCGTTGTGTATTTTGCATGAGAATGTACGTAATCAGACATAGAGAGATTTCGAAATTTAACTGATTATTCACAGATGAAGAATAAAGGGAAGGAAGAGGAGGATGAGAAAGAGAAAAGAAGAAGAAGAAGAAGAAGAAGAAGAAGAAGAAGAAGAAGAAGAAGAAGAAGAAGAAGAAGAAGAAGAACAACAACAACAACAACAACAACAACAACAACAACAACAACAACAACAACAACGAACAAAAGAACCAGAAGAAGAAGAAGATATGAAAGGAGACGTAGGGTCGTATTTATGGTATTGCAGGTTTTGCAGATAAACTGGGCGCCACTTAAACAATCTTATGTTGAGTCAATTACAGCGTTTCACCTGGAGAAAAATAACGGGAAGGAAGAGGATGAGGTGGAGAAAAGAACAAAAAAGAAGGAAACATTGAAGAAGAAGAAACAGAAGAAAAAGCAGAAGGAGGAGAAGAAGAACAACAAGAAGTAGAAGAAGAACAAGAAGATATAAGAGTAGATGTAGGGTGGTATTTATAGTATTGGAGCTTAGGTGGATGCCCTGGGCGCCTCTTAAACAATCTGTTTTTTTTTCAATGACAGCGTTTCATCTTAATTGAGGACAATAAGTTGAAACGTTTAATTAACAAACACAAAAGAGAAAAAAAAAATAATAATATCTTAAAAGGTGTGACCATCACGAAATATTCGCTAATAAACAGCATCTTGTCTCGAAAACTAAAAAAAATGTTTGCCGAGGCACGCGCCACTAAAAATTGTAAAAAAAAAAATTAAAAAATTGCAGAAGGCATATTAGCAGCAAGGAGGGGCAGGGGCTGACCAGCATAAGGACGTTCACAGGATATAAGTGACCTCTTAGGTAGGAAAGTGCACGAGGTGTGAGAGCTGGAACAGACGAATTTTCTTCCAGGCAGACCGTGTTAGAACGACGTTCTCAAAGGACCTGTTACTAAAGATGATGATGATGAGCGTGTGATTAGCATTTAACCATTTAGCATCAAGGGTCACACCACAAAGATTGTACTACAAATGGTCATAAAAAGGATTTGGAATAAAACACAACCAGAAAAGGCGAAGAGTGGTGTATGTTCGTAGAAGGCAACAGTAAAACAAATCATGTGTGTCTCCTGAGATCAATACTAGAGCGCTTATAAAAGAAAATACAGATCTTCTTCTCTGTTTCATTGATTAAACAAAGGCTTTTGGCAGACTAAGATACGCTGATTCGACGACAATGCTTTAAATCTACACTTTTGATGACATTACCTGGTAATCATTTTAGGTAGCGTCGACCTGGCATTGAAGATCAGTTTTGAAAAATGTAATCCGGATAGATCTACATTTGTTGCCTACACTAAGAAGCGTCTATCGACTACGATACCTGGACTGTCGTGTGAATCCTCATAAACTTTACAGTAATCTCGACAAATCTGCTTAGTTGCTGGCTAACATCCTTTGGTTGAAATGTTCATGTTTATTTAACGGATCAACATCATGGCACACAGGTATAACGCATAAGTGCTTCGTTCTACTTCTAACTCAAGCCTGAGTGTGAAGAATCTCTGCGCTGGTCACGAACTCAGTTGCACCGGCGAGAATCATGAAATAATTTGAGTAGATTTTTTACTTCAAATTTCGCCCGGGCAGTGCCGATAGGTTACTCTTTTTTTTTTAATTTCCAACGGCTAAGGGATTTTTTACGTGCACAACAATACACACGGGCGTCCGATCTTACTACCAATAGTCCAGGGGAAATTACTATAAGTCAATGTTACAAAATCCCAGCCCATCACTAGGGCTTGAACCCGGGACCTCCAGCATTCTAGGCGGACACCATACCTCGAGACCTCTCAGCCAACAGATGTTGAAATGTTTTCTCCCCGTGTGGATTTCATGACCCCATTGTGGGTAAAAACAAGAATAGAACAACTGCCTACCCAAACATGTCGTACGAGTCGAATAATTAAGCGCTTTCTTCGAAGTCGGAGTGTATCTGCTTGAGAAGCAAGGAACCAACAGTCTGCATGCAAGTGAGCTAAATCTGTGACGCAAATGTCCTTCAAACACTCAGGTTCTGGCAGTTGATGAACAAATAGAACTGTCCGCCGGTGAACAAGAAGAAGAAGAAGAAGAAGAAGAAGAAGAAAAAGAAGAAAAAGAAGAAGAAGAAGAAGAAGAAGAAGAAGAAGAAGAAGAAGAAGAAGAAGAAGAAGAAGAAGAAGAAGAAGAAGAAGAAGAAGAAGAAGAAGAAGAAGAAGAAGAAGAAGAAGAAGAAGAAGAAGAAGAAGAAGAAGAAGAAGAAGAAGAAGAAGAAGAAGAAGAAGAAGAAGAAGAAGAAGAAGAAGAAGAAGAAGAAGAAGAAGAAGAAGAAGAAGAAGAAGAAGAAGAAGAAGTAGAAGAAGAAGAAGAAGAAATGTTTTCTAGCACCTGGGCTGCTTTAATCAGTTAATAAGCTTTCAGATATCGTTAAAGAATAGTCCTCTCAACGAGTATAGTTTCAAAGAGAAACAAGGTACGCAAGTTTCGTCTGTTTCTGAAGTGTAATAAGAAAAAAAGTGATATCTCTGAAATATAATAATAAATGTGTCCTTGTAATGAAAGATTACTGATCTCTGCCACACAGGAAATGCATCATCAAGTCAAACAAATGATTATTGCACGTAGGGTGAAGTCGAGCTTCTTCAGACGCTAGAGTGATGTCCCATGTTGGGAAGTAGATAATACGGTCTTGTAGATCCCTGAACGTTTCCTTCTGTATTGTGGTGATATACTGACCCCATACATCGCCAACGTAGTAGACATAGGGCTCTCGCTCGCCAACATTTGGTCCCTGAGAAAGATAGGTATGGCAACATTGTTGTCAGTACATTGTATGTTATTTAATTATAAATAACACACGAAAAAAGACCTTCTGAAACATGTTTGTCTATGCAGCATAGGACCGCAGGTTACATCCTACTTGTGTAACCGGGTATCTGGGATCTACCTAGGTGGTCTGCTAACCCTACTGAGATTTTAAAATCTGAGAATGGTATGGTAAGCTTTTGCTAGCAGCCCAGAGAGAACAAACTGACCGACAGGTCTTGCAGGTCTTCGTGTTTGAAGATGTGTATGGGTCTTGATCGATAGTTTAACATCGCCAACCAAGTCAGTCTTAGTCTTTGTTTTAGATTTGTTGAGGTTTCAACTTCACTGCAATCAGGTTTCCCCATACTTGCTACGTTAGTAGTGGCCTAGCGTGATACGGCGCGCATTTACATCTGGGGCCTTAGCACCCTCCCTCTTTATCCTTAGTAAAAGATGGCGGCCATCTGACGTCACAAGTGCTTGGTTTTCTCCGGGAGGGTTAAACCCTCCCTCTTTATCCTTAGTAAATATCGATCGGGAGGGTGATGATGTCATCAGTGATTGTTTTTTTTCCGGGTGGGGAAAGGTATATTAAATCTATACTTTGTCTCCATTGTCTCCCCCAGGGGTGTCGATATTTTCTTAGAGGATAAGGAAGGCAAATCGATATTTCTTTAGTGCAGGACCTGCTTTATGACAAAGTGGTGGATGACTCATTTCCGGGGAAGGTATATGAAATCGATATGTTGTCTTCGTGGTCTCCCTCGTGGTGTCGGCGTTTTCTTATAGGGTTATTTAAGGCAAATCGATATTTCTTTAGTATTATTGCTCGGGCGGGCAAATAAATACTTTGCAGGCGAATTATTGTCTTCAAAGTGGCATGTGACAGGTGGCGGGTGATTAAAAGAGTTGCTGCGGGTTTATGGGGTCTGTAATAGAAAAGAATAATTAGGGGTGGTTTGTTAGCGGGGGATATATATACATATTATGAAACGAAACAATTTAGGGGACATGAAAATAGACTTATAGGCGGCAGTGACTGGCGGTGGAGGGGGGGGGGTGCGTTTAAGGGTTTAGATAAAGAAACCTATCAAGGCTACTTGATGACCGGGGATATATGAGAAAGGGCGGCTCGGGCGCCATCATCAGCTGTATCAGGGTATCGAAGGCCGACCGCTCAGTGGGTTTGAGCTGCAGTAAAAAGGAGAACGTACGACAGAAGGGTGGGTGTCTGGTCATACAGTTCAGGGCCGAAGAGAAGGGGCATAATTGGCAGCCTATCTGACTTTATAAATAAGTTTTCGCGGGGCCATTTTAGGAGTCTACCGGTCATCAGTAGAAGATCCCCCGTCGACAATTTTTCGGCCTGGTACCATCCTAAACAAACTCGGAAGGTGTGCCAACCTGGGTCATGACGCCGGGTCCCAGTATCTCCTGCTGTGCTCAATTGGAAACGTATGGACGAGGCGATAGGAATAAACTCACAGGGAGCAAGTACAGCAGGGATCTACCAGTCTTCAGTAGAAATTATCCTCGTCGACACGCGTTTCGGCCCACGATTCCTAGACGCATTCGGAGGTGGGCCCACCTGAGTTCATGAAGCTCAGGGCTGGTTCCCTGCTGCACGGAATTACCGGATGGTGTTATACTTTCGGCCAGAGACAAGACGACTTGGTGGTTTCGAAGAAGGTTCTGTGAGATAAGAAGTCGCCGCGACAGCTTAATTAGAACAGTCAGCGTGCCTGGACGACCGAGCGACAAGCTTACTTTGGTTTACCGGACACGACACATGTTGGACTTTTATTAGCAGTTGGCAGAGGGACACTGGCAGACAATTCGGACACGATGGACTTTCAAAGGGATGAGAAACTCTTATCCACTAGACACCGGGACCAGCTCACCGAGGCCCGTCCCCTACGTTGTTGCGCTGCGTCCAAAGCCAGCTAGAGGCCCTTTCGGCCACCTCTCCCAGTTTTTTGAGTGTTCGTTTCCGTTCATTACCGCGCAATCCTAGTTCTTTCACCACATTGTAGAGCGAAGTGGAAACGAGGCCTCTCGCTCCCAATTCGACGGCAAATACCCGTACTGTGTAAGCCTCGTTTCTCCTCAAACCGGCTGCTAAATCACTGTACTTCTCGAGCTTGTACAAATGATTCTCCTCCATCCGCGACTCAAACGGGACAGTCAACTCAATCAGAATGAGCTGCCGTTTTTGCGCAGAATGGAGAACGATGTCCGGTCGCAGGCCGGTTTTACGGATCAACTCGGGATACCGTTCATGGCCTGGCAGATCAACCGCCAGTAACCAGTCCCTCGCAGAGTCTAGCACAGATGGAGCGAATGCGTTTTTGTTGACCTTACCTTTTGGAACCTGCCCAGCCTTGAGGAAACGAATGGGGGCGATACTAGAACTGGCTCTAGCGTTAGCCCTCATTCTAGTCTGGTCGACAACGGCTGCTAACTCCTTTAACACCTTGTTGTGGCGCCAGGTATATCGGCCTTGACCTATAGCTTTCCTGCACGCGGACAGGACGTGCTCAAGAGTTTGCTTCGATTTGCACAACGGGCAAGTCGGATCGTTAGTCGCAGACCATTTAACCATGTTAACACCGGACGGTAATACATCGTACGCCGAACGAACGATAAAGCTCAGTCGCAGCGGGGTCATCCGCAAGATCTCACCCCATGTGAGTATTCTAGGCAATGCGCTCTCCAGGCTGACCCAATGGCCCTGCTGCGACTGCTGGGCTGCTTTCTGGACCCGAACCTCGTTTTCGTTGTCCCTCACCGTTTGTATCACCATGTCTCGGCGTTCTTTGGCTGAGGTCTTTGACCACCAATTGACTTTCCCGTGCCCTAGGCCTCGACGGTCGGTTTGTGTGTAACGCATTATCTCCTTCAATTTTAGTGCGTTCTGAGCAGATTCTATCGCATCGAGGACCCTCCACTTGGTTCCAGTCTTTAGAGCGGGCTGGACAGCGATGACATTTGGGTCTGAAGACTCGCGCAAAAGCATGGCGAGTCTTACCTTGCCGACTTTAAACTCTTCGGTTATTGACTTGAACGGAAGTACCAGCTTAGCCTGTTTGCAATACAGAGCCACGTCGGTCAGACAAGGCGGTGCTCCAATCCACTTTCTTAAGGCTGTGTTGATTTTTTTCTCCATGGCTTCCACTGCAGTCATCGTCACCTCGTAGACTAACAGTGGCCATAGAAGTTTCGGAATCAACATGAATTGGAGACACCATACCTTGAATTTTCCGATCAGCCTGCATCGCTCGATCGCGAGCAGGCCTGTAGCCAGTGACTCGTGTATTCGCCGGACCTCCGCTCTATCAGATAACTTCGAATCGTAAACGCGACCGAGACTCTTCACCGGTTCCTCCAGAACCGTAGGGATCTTGTTCCTTGCCACCGTAAAACTGATTGCCGACACCTTGCCCTTATGGATTGACAGACTCCTCGACTTCTGCGGTTTGAACTGCATACCGCTCCATTGGACCACCGCGTCCAATCTTTTCAGGATCGTGCGGGCAGACTCCTCGCTGCCCGTTATAATAGTCGTGTCATCCATAAATGCGCGCAGTGGCGGTAACCAGTGATCCCCTATTTGAAGGCCCAGTCCGTAGCCGGCCGCCCCGTCTAACATGATCTGCATAGCCATGACAAACAGTATAGGTGAGATCGTACACCCCATAGCTATCCCAATCTGCAACTCAGTCCACCTCGTGGTAAACGTCGAGGTAGAGAAGCGCAAAGCGAACTTGGAGAAATATTGCTCGACCATTTGACTGATCTGTGTCGGTACGTAAAACATGCGAAGGGCTCGCCACAGTAGCCTATGGGGGACTGCCCCGTAGGCGTTGGCTAAGTCCAACCATATAACGTGCAAATCGGTTCTCTCATGCTTGGCTCTCTGGATAGCCTCCCAAATCATGGTCGCGTGTTCAAGGCACCCAGGAACGCCTGGAATACCACCCTTCTGAACACTCGTATCTATGTACTTGTTAGTCATCAGATACTGTGTGAGCCGGCGAGCCATGACTGAGAAGAATATCTTACCCTCGACATTCAACAGCGAGATGGGCCTGAATTGGGAAAGACTCTTCGAGTCCTGCTCTTTGGGAATGTAGACCCCATTTGCCTTTGACCACTCTGGACATATGTGGTTGCGGATCCACGCTTGTCTCAACAAGACGTGAAGCATTTTTAGGATTTTCGGGCAACGCTTGTAAAAAACGTACGGAACACCGTTCGGACCTGGGGCAGACTTGCCGCTGGCCTTTTTCACAACGTCCTCAACCTCATACCAAAGGGGAGATATCATTTTAAATGGTACCTTCGGCACCGAAGGCTGTTTAAGACCGCTAAGGATCTCTGGATTGTCATCGAGAGGCTCTCTCCTCTTTTTATCAGAGTACATCTTGCTTAGATGTAGCTCAAGTTCTTCCTGACTGACAACCAGAGTCCCAGACTTCGGTTGCTCGAATAGACCTCGGGCAAACTGATACGGGTCCCTAAAGAATTTCTCTCGCTCCCTTTTGGTTCTACGTCTGTTGTTACAGAAACGCTCGGCGCGACAGAGGGCACTGTGTTTGTTCTTTAAATGCAACCAAACTTCGTACAGCCCCTCCCGTTCGCTGCCTGTAGCGGCTTTGAACCGTTTTCTGAGGGCATTCTTGTCTGCCCGACTCTTCAGAATGTCCCTCTGCCTCCTGCTAGTATTCTGCTTGGCACCCGGCTGTGCCTTTACTACTGTCCCGAACTCGCGGGAGCAGTGTTCATATACTACATCACAAAATTTAGTAAGCTTGTCGCCTAGCGACTTCTTGTTTAGAGTTTGTTTAAGTATCTCACATAATGTATCCTCCAACTTACACCACACCACCTTCTCGCTCGCAGGTGGAAACCTGATTTTGGAACGCACTTCTTCAGAAATCATCAAATGTGCTCCTCCGCAGTCGACGTCATGGGCATCTCCGGGCGAGTGGGGTTCACCCTGCCCGTCGTACCCTGACGACTCAGAAACTACCACAGGAGTGGTAGTTTTGCGACGGCGTTTACTGCGTGGAGCACCCTCGAATTTCATTCTTCCGGCATGCGTTCTCAGACCATGCAACCCCGTGAAGCTTTTCCCACATGTACGGAGCCAGCCCGGACGTTGGGCGAGTATCTCAGTCCGGGGGCTAGCAAGGTCGTCACCGAGTGTATCAATTGGATTGAAAGTGAATCAACAGGTATTGTGGTGAGAGTTGGTTCTTTTATTGGTGTTGAATTGTCGTCAAGTTAGCAAACTGGCCGCCTACCTTCACGGTCGAGTGACAAGCGAGATGTGTCGCACGCCGCACCGCCCCACATAGAATGCGTTTACCGTGATTCGCGCAGGCTGTTGTGCTATTGTCGGAAATGTGTTAGTTAGATTCAGCAGTTTGCGGATAGACACTGGCAGATACTTGGTACTTTGGCTTTCGAGAGAATGCTAAGTTCTTTTCTACTAGTGCCCAGACCAGCCTACCAGGGCCCGTCCCCCGTGAGGTTTCATTGTGTCCAGAGACAGCTCCAAGCTCTCTCAGCAGCTTCGCACAGCTGTTTGAGTGTCCGCTTACGCTGATTTCCTCTTAAGCTCAGCTGCCTTAGCACATTATAAGTGGATGTGGAGACAAGACATCTTGCGCCTACCTCGACGGAGAAGATTTTTACTGCGTACGCTTCGTCTCTCCTCAGACCGGCTGCGAGATCACACTATTTCTCGAGCTTGTACATGTGATTTTCGACCATTCGTGGTTCATACGGCATGGTCAGCTCAATCAGGATGTGCTGGCGTTTCTCCGCCGAGATTAGGACTATGTCGGGTCTCAGACCGGTCTTCCGGATTAACCCTGGGTACCTTTCGAAACCAGGCAGGGCGACAGATAGTAACCAGTCCCTCGCACAGTCACGTATCGATGGAGCGTATGCGACCTTGTTGAATTTACCTGTATAAATCTGCTCAGCCTTGAGGAAGCGCATGGGGGTAACGGTAGGACTGGCATTCGCGTTGGCCCTCATCCTGGCTTGGTCCACAATGTCTGCTAACTCTTTTAGGACTTTACTGTGCCGCCATGTACACCGTCTCTGGCCTAGGGCTTTCCTGCACGCGGACAATAGGTGCTTGATGGTCTTTTTCGTTCTACAGAGAGGGCATGTCTGGCCCGGTGGTCGCATGCCATATTAACATATTGACGCTATAGGGTAATACGTTGTAAGCATATCTGATTACAAAGCTCAGTCGCAGAGGGGCTATTCGCCAGATCTCACCCCATGTTAGTGTTTGTGGCAAGGCGCTCTCGAGGCCTGATCCATTGACATTGCTGCGACTGCTGGTCTGCTTTTTGGACTCGAGTCTCGTTTTTAGTGTTCCTGATCTGCTCTATTGCCATGTTTCTGCGTTCTTTCGCTGAGGCTTTTGACCACCAACTGACTTTCCCGTGCCCCAGACCTCGTCGGTTGGTTTGTGTGTACCCCATGACCTATTTCAATGTTAGTGCTTCCTGTGCAGATTCTATCGCGTCTCAGACCTTCCACTTCGTACCTGCCTTCAGAGCGGGCTGGACAGCTGCTACTATGGGGTCTGAGGACTCGCGCAGTATCATCACGAGTCTCACCTTTTACTTACTTACTTTACTTACCTACTTTACTTACTTGCTTAATTTACATGCTTTACTTATTTACTTTACTTACTTAATTTACTTTTTAACTTTACTTAGTTTACTTACTTAACTTAGTTACTTTCTTTTCTTACTTACTTTACTTGCTTACCTTATTTATTTACTTACTCACTTTACTTAATTACTTTACTTACTTACTTACTTTACTTACTTACTTAACTTTATTTACTTTACTTACTCAACTTTACTTACTTTACTTATTTTCTTTACCTACGTACTTATTTTACTTACTTACTTACTTCACTTATTTACCTGCTTTACTTACTTACTCTCTGTACATACTTACTTTAATTTCTAGCTTTATTCACATACTTTTTTACATACTTTGCCCACTTGCATTACGTACTTACTTTACCTACTTTTTATTTACCTACTTTACTTATTTATTTACTACTTCCTTGCATTACTTACTTACTTCACATACTTACATTACTCACTTACAAGACTAACTTATTTTTTTTTTGTGCTGACAGTTTTTGTTTTTACTCACGTACTTTACTTACAAACTTACATAATTACTTTATATACTTACTTTACTTACTTTTTAATTAATCACTTTACCTACTAACTTTTCTTACGTTTTTTACTTGCTTACTTTACATACTTACATTACTTATTAACGTTACATATTTACTTTACCTTTTCACTTTATTTGCTGACATTTTATTTACTTACTTACATTATTTTACTTACTTTACTTACTTTACTTTACTTACTTACTTTGCTTCCTTACTTTACTTACTCACTTTACTTACTCACTTTACTTTATATGAATACTTTACTTACTTTACTGATTTACTTTATTTACTCTTATTTTACTTTCTTACTTTACTTGCTTACTTTGTTTAATTACTTATCTTACATACCTACTTTTAGTTACTTTGCACCTACTTTACTACTTATTTTTATTTTTTTCTGCACATTACTTACTTAACCTACTTTACTTAGTACTTTACTTAATTACTTTACCTACTTACTTACTTTGCCTATTTACTTTACATTACTTTGTTTACTTACTTTACTTACATTACTTACTTTACTTATTTACTTTACATTACTTACTTTACTTACTTTACTTATTTACTTTACATCCCTTACTTTACCTATTTACTTTACATTACTTACGCTACTTACTTTACTTTGTACTTTACTTACTTACTTGACCTGCTTACTTACTTTGCTACTTACTTAACTTACTTTCTTTTCTTTAACTGACTTACTTTACTAATTTACTTTACGTTACTTACACATAAATTACTTTACTTACTTACTTTATTTACTTTTTTACTTAATTATTTTGCTTATTTACTTCGCTTACTTTTTATTTGCTTACTTTTTTGTTTACTTACTTTACTTACTTCGGTTTACTGGCTTTTAGTAGGCACTAATAATAACATGCGTATCATGAAACCTTGCTGAAAAATATAGCATTGTCTATCATCACAATCATAGATTTCCATTACTAGCCATGTAATTTGAATGCTATAGAAACGCTATCTGTGAGACACGACTTACCCTTAACAGTATTTGACCATGTGGATTTCGCTCCAACAACCTGACGACTTCATCACGTACTGCCCTTAGAGTCCTCTCATAAACGCTGAGGTGATGGGCGGAGAAGTGAAGGTAGTGGTTGAAGCTGATGATGTAACGACCGTCCGATGGAATTGAGCGGAATACTTTCTGAGGTGAGTACAAATCGGAACTCCTGAAGAAACTTCCCTGCAGTAAAATCAGTTACATTGTATCTAAACATTAACCAACAGTGAACTTATATGCCTAAACATCCACAAGCATATCACAATCAGTTTCGAGGGCAAGCTTTCTTCCCGTAGATCTGTGGACTAGCTAATAATTTTAAAAGATTGAAACTGAAGCTTTTGATCTAAAATGCTCTATAAAGGGAGTCACAGTGGCCGAGCTGCTAGACGCTCGCCGCGGATCGGAAGGTCGTGGGTTCGCTCCTTGGCGGAGCCGGACTATTTTCAAAATGATCTTGGCTACCAGGTCGACCCAGCCTTAAGTGGGTACCAGCTACAGTCCTGGCCGGTGTGATGCTGACCACATCATCCATCTTGTGCCGATTGGTCTATAAAAATATAGGTCTAGCCCTATATGCCCTATACGCCTAAAGGCGTCGATTAGGGTTCTTTACTCTTTTTTCTTTCTTTTTTATCTTATGCTCTATAAAGATTCTCAAAATACTATGGACCAAGACAAATTAATTATTGACACCTTAAAGATCTGAACATTAAAGACTATTGCCCTGTAAACAGCATCGTGTCTCGTAACCCTAAATATTTTCACAGCATCCATATCAATCGCCACGGTGGGTTGGAAAGAACGGTAGCAAAGCTATTGGTATCATTGAAGTAGTGAAGCAGCCGACTAAACAAAGATGGTCACCTTTTTATAAATCCCTTTTATTTAATATTCATCAGTGTCCTCGGGCAAGCTTCACTGGGAAGGTCACGGGTAGTGAACATACTTTGGATTTTTTATCCAGGTCTTGAAGTGGGTAATGAGCCAGCAGACAGATTGGCCGGATCTGCACCACTGGGTGGCAAATTGATAAATGACAAGGCAGATGTGGTCAAGGCCCTTCGTGAACAAGCAATGGAATCAGTAGAGAAAGAAGATTATTATGGCCTGGAGAGAATGAGGCACCTGGGTGTAACCAGGGGGTCTGGCCGGCTCACTACACCCAGAGGAAAGGCAAGACGGACATATAACCAGATTGTGACCGGTACTCTTAGTATTGGAACTCTGCGCTAGCTGCTGAAGATGAGGACGAAGCACGCATGCGAATGCCCCTAGTGTTGTGATGTCGAATCTTAACTTAACTCAATGTCCTCAGGCATTTGTTTTTAAATGTATTTAACTTTCGTTCCATGTCTTCAGAGGTTCTCAAACTTTCACTGGCATAAGCTCAAACTAAAATGACCTCATAACTGAAAATACGTTTTTTTGTTAACATATTGGTAACAGTTATAACAGCTGACTTTAAAACCACACTCATCTTCTTTTTTCTTTTCCCCTTTAATGTCTTTAGTCTGGATCATCCGTATACCATCTGATTTTATAATTAGACAATAATGTCAACCTAAAATTTTTTTTCTATCTAAATTAAAACACTAAGTTCCGTTTTTTTTTGGGTCCTTCACTAAGGGATGAAGCCGTTAGTCTCGAGCTCTGAAGGTCGTAAGTTCATTTTTGTGACGGGGACAATGGATTCATAAGTGGATTTTTACTAATGTCGCTTGGAATCATCGCTGGGATAATGAAGTTCATGGTTTGGGCGATTGTTCTGCTACATACATGCACTTAAGCACGCTCGCGTTGATACATACAAACACCTAAGATATACCTGCAAACATAACAAATCTCTTCTTTTACATATTAGGAAATAGAAGCGAGTCAAGGTAAATAAGGATATCCTGAGAATAGGTCGTCTTTCACGTGAATAAACAAATAAAACAAAATGCAACGATCCTGTGGAGACGGAAGAATCAATCAATCAATAATCAATCAAGAATTCACTGAAATCGGGATATTCACATAAACGCTCCGCCCCCGTCTTCAGCAACCAACGAAGAGTTGACATACTAAAGCTACCAGCTGCAACTGGATTAAAAGTACGTCTCTGTTTCTCCTTCAGAGTTAAATATCTCCAAGAACCTTTGCTCAACCCCCATTGAATTAGTCTTCCAGTGTATGGATTCCCTACATGTTCCTTTGCACTTTTGCAGACTGACGAAAACAAGAATTGTTGATGAAAGTAAAACCAGAGACACTTAACATATTTCTGCCACATACAAAAACATAACACGCTGGTAACAATATATATAGAAATATACTATATATATATATATATATATATATATATATATATATATATATATATATATATATATATATATATATATATATATATATATATTAAATAGAGCGGAAGTCCGGCGCACACAGGAGTCATTGGCTACCGGCCTGCTTGCGATCTAGCGATGCAGGCTGATCGGCAAGTTCAAGGTCTGGTGTCTCCAGTTCATGTTTTTTTTTTTTCCAAAGCTCATCTGCCGCTGCTCGTGTACGATGTGACCATGAATGCAATGGAAAAAAAAAAATCAACACAGCCATGAGGAAATGGATGGGAGCACCGCCTTATCTGACCGATGTGGCTTTGTATTGTCAGCAGGTTAACCTGGTACTTCCGTTCAAGGCAATAACCGAAAAGTTTAAAGTCGGCAAGGTAAGACAGTCGATGATGCTGCGCGAGTCTTTAGACCCCACGGTGGCAGCTGTCCAGCCCACTCTAAAGTTGGTAAGAAATGGAAAGTCCTAGATGCGATAGAATTTGCTCAAGAAGTACTGAAATTGGAAGAAGTCATGGGTTACACACAAACCAATCGACGCGACCTAGCGCACGGGACAGTCAGTTGGTGGTTCTAAGACACGGCCAAATACCGCAGAGACAAAGTAATACAGCAGATAAAGAACGCCGAAAATGAGACTCGGTCCCAAAAAGCCACGCAGTAGTCGCAGCAAGACCAGTTTCGAGCTTCGAGAGCGCCTTGCCACGAATACTCACATGGGGTGAGATCTGGCGAATGGCCACCCTGCGGCTGAGCCACGGCCATCTTTAGATACAGATGGGCGTGGCTGAGCCTTGTAGCAAGATCTATGCACGATGTGTTACATCCGGTCAACATGGTCAAATGGTATGCAACTACCGACCTGACATGCCCACTGTGCGGAGCTAAGCAAACGTATTGTCCGCGTGTAGAAAAGCCGTAGACCAGGGACGAACTGGCGAACATTGTGGTCAAAGCCAGGATTAGGGCCAGCGCGAGGGGCAGTTCTACTGTCACCCCCATGCGCTTTCTCAAGGCTGGGCAGATTTATAAAGGTAAAATCAACAAGGTCGCATACGCTCCATTATTACTTGACTGTGCGAGGGATTGGTTACTGACTGTAGACATACCTGGTTTCCAGATTCAATCCGGAAGATCGGCTTAAGGCCCGAAATAGTCCTTCACTCTGTGAAAAAACACCAGTTTGTCTTGACAGAGCAGGCCGTGCCGTACGAGTCGCGGATGGAGGAAAATCCCCTGTACAATCTCGAAAATTACGGACACTAGAGGCTGGGCTAGGAGAGACGAAACGTACGCAGTAAAAATCTTCGTCGTCAAGGTAGGCGCAAGAGTTCTTTTCCTCCACTTTCACATACAGTGTGCTAAAGCAGCTGGGCCTGTTAGGCAAAGAGCGTAATTGGTAATTAAAACAACTGGTCGAAGCTGCTGGAAGAGTTTTTCTGTCGGGGTGCAAAATGACACAAACTAACCTGACCAGTCCGTGGCGACAGCACTAGCCATGCGGCACCAAATCATCTGGCTCATGACCCCTTATCTACTCCGATATTAAAACAGATAGTAGTGACATTCGTTTAGTTATTGTGGTGGTGGTGGTGGTGGTATTAGTAGTAGTAATCGTACTGGTACTTGAAGGATGGTGTGATAAATATTACACTTGCTGCATTTACTTCTCATTACAATTGCTGCTCCCCATTTTAGTCGGATGGACAGAGATGTCAAGATCAGTTTAAAAAAATATTGTCAGGTGATGACTTTCAAATCCTTTGGAGAGGGAGAGAGCATTAGTCGGTGGATGGAGCATGGGAGGGGGTGATGACAGAAATTGGTAACTAAAAGAGCCTAACACATGATTTTAAAGTTTTCATTCATTAATATGTTTTATTTTACTAACGCTACTTCAGCAATTTTTTTTTTCTTTTTTTCTTTTTTTTTTCGCCTCACTTGGTTTTTTGCAAGTACAGTAGTAAGCTGTAATTCCGTCTCTTTGGAAAATACAGCTTTAGCATGTGATAACCAATTAACTATTTTTAAAGTCCTAATAAAACAATTTAAACGACTACTAATATAATGACACAATTATATGTTTCATGTTCTAGAGTCGGCAAACCAGACTATGTCTATATTTGTGCAGGCAATGATTGCGACATTAACCATATTAGTCACTGGCGATTTCTATTTTCTGTCTTTCCCAAAAAACCTTTGATAAGTTAGAGAGAGGTAGGTGGATTTGAGGGGGGTGGGGGGGGGGGCGGCATCAAAGACTGTCTGTGCATACAATGATAGCAACAATAACCATGTTAGACACGTGCGATTTCTATTTTCTTTTTTTTTTCTATTTAGCTAAACTAAACCACAGCAACGCGTGGTCGGGGACAGCTAGTTTTAACATATATTGCCAATAAGTCTCCCATACACTACCAAGACATTTTACCATAAATACAGTCTAGCCTGAGTAGATGACGTCAGAAGTATACCGATTACACAGTCCTGCCTCAGTGGATGATTGATATCAATAGTACACCGGACAGTCTTTCCTCAGTAGTTTATATAAGTAACACGCCCGATAACCTCTTGTCTCAGTGGGTTATGTCTGTCGTAGAATGGATACAGTTTTGCTTTAGTGGATGATGTCAATAGTGCACCAGATACAATCTTGCTTCAGTAGATGATAGTGCACCGGATACAGTCTTGCTTCAGTGGATGATGTCAGTAGTATACCGGATACAGTCGTGCCTCAATGGATGATGTCAATAGTGCACTTAATACAGTCTTGCTTCATTAGATGATGTCACTAGTACACGAGTTACATAGTCTTGCCTCAGTGAATAATGTCAGTAGTACACCATATAA